TTTGTTTGTCTCTTCATGTGCTCACATGTTTCAAACAGATCTGCGATTCCAGGTCTAAGCTATTTCCCCAAAATTTTTGCTTTTTGAGGTTCGTTTGAAAAATTTGTCTTTTCTTTACTTGCTTCTTGGCTTGTTTTCTTCTGCTGCCTTGCTTGTTAGTTCTATTTTTGTAGCTTTTTCTTTTTTGTTAAGTCTTCAAGCACAGTTTTGACAGTGGTTTTCCTGTTAGTTTCGATTTTTGTTTCTGCAGGTTTTGTGTTTTGGTGATCGGCAGAAAGAGTTTTTTTTTGTCAGTTTTTTATTTTTAAATTTATTATATTCTTTTTGCTAATTATAAAGCTACTTTATATGTTTTTAAATGTTTATAAACTGGTTTATCTAAAAAAAATTTTTTTTATTGATATTTATAAAGGCATTTTTGAAAAAAATAAAAATTCAGATTAAACATCATGGCTATAAAGAATTAATTTAATTCTTTATATTATATATATAACATGATCTAATATTATTAATATAGTTTATTTTAAGCTTTATAATACATATAAAAGTATTAAATTTTTATATCTAACTGATCTTTTAAGTAATTTGGTTTCTTTAGTTTTAGACATTTATGCTATGCATTATTGTGAAGAAAATTAGTTTGCTTATAAGAAAGTATGTATACATTATTAAAGCAACTTTTTTTCTGATTTGATTAGAAAAATTACAAATATGCTTTTTTAATATTCTTTTCAGATGTCTTTTATTAGATAGAAATTAATCATTTATTTTTTTTTAGTAATTATCTTATTAAAATTGTGAATAGTACTAAGAATCAAAAACTAATATAAGTCTAGAATATAAATAAATAAAATGTAAATATATCATAAATTTTGTATTAATAATTAATTATCTGTTTGTTATATTTGTTGTTCAAAAATAATTTTGCAATCACACATTACATGTGTAAACAGACAAAAAATTTCCAAATTACAATATTTATATATTTGATTAAAATAATTATATTGACATATCAAAAAAGAATTTTTTATGATCAAAATGTATCAAAAATATAACTTTTGTATTATATAATGTGTAAAAATTAAATGTCTGTTACTACACTTCAAACAATTATTTGAAGATATATAATCAAATATTTTACAACTTAACAATTGCCAAAAGAGATATATTGTATTTTTTAGCAACAGTATAATAATATCTTTTAAAAGAATTTTATATATTTTACAAAATATCTGTATATGTTGCAACAGTTAGATATGCTTACTTAGAAGTGTTTTATATAACTTCTAAAGATATTTGCAAAGGTGTATAAAATCATAACAAGGAATCTATTATTAAATTTTTGAATAATAATATTAAAGTATACTAATTATTATTGTTAAATTATAAAATAACAGATTGTTATTTTCTAAAAAGGTTTATTATTTTTAAAAAACCCAATATATTTATTTTATATGATTTGATGTATTGTAATAAAAACCAAGATTTATTTAATAGTTATATTCTAGCATGTGAACATGATTATCATAATTCTTGTTTACAAAAATTATATTTTAAATGTCTTAAATACTTAGGTTATTTTTAAGATAAAGTTAAGAAAAACATTAATATATTAATAATAAGTATGAATAGCAAATTGGTTAAAAGTGAATTAATTAATATATAGAATAAAAGTGTAGTTATAGATAATTCAGATGATATAGACAAAATAATAAGCAATATAATAGAAATAAATAATTTATTAAAATATATAAAAATTATATTTTAACAATTGTAACAAAATTATAATAAATATTTAATAAATAATGATTAAATTATATATATACCTTGAATTCTTCTAGAAATTTCTGTTTTTTAGAGTTATACAAAAAAGTTAACTTTAATTAACTAATATCTGAAAAATTATAAAAGAATTTTAATAATAAATTTTTATATCTAATCTTTAAAAATTCATATATCGATGAGTTTTTTATGTCAATTTTAATGATTTTACTATTGTTAAAATCACAAGAACCTACTTTACAACTTTTTAGAAGCTCAAAAAATATTTAATTAGTAAAACTTTCATAATTGAAATTATAAAAAAAATATACTATTAAGTTTTATATAATTTAAAATATTACACCCTACTCTTAAATTAAATTGACATGTACAATATAATGATTATAATCTAAACCTAATTTGGATGCTGCCAAGTGAAAACCTGACATTCTAAAAATAGATTTCTACGGACAACGGAATATGGACTTTAAATTAGAGGTTGGAACCGGGTTTAAAAATTCGAGTTTATCACATGAAAATTCGAGTTTATCACGCCAAAATTCGAGTTTATCACATTAATCATTAATGATTTATGTGATAAACTCGAATTTTGGCGTGATAAACTCGAATTTTCATGTGATAAACTCGAATTTTTAAACCCGGTTCCAACCTCTAATTTAAAGTCCATATTCCGTTGTCCGTAGAAATCTATTTTTAGAATGTCAGGTTTTCACTTGGCGGCACCCATTTAGTTAAAAGAATAAAAAAACATCATGTATCGGTATTTTTTCGGTAAAAAAAATTAATTGGTACGTATGCACTATTCTTTAAAAAGAATGTTCTATAAATGATGACAATAAAATAATAATCCCCCGATCACTATACCAAGATCGCTAATTAATAATACCCTGACCGTATGTGAATAAGCGGAAACTTCATTTCCGCTAATTCCCAACGGATCAGGATATTATTATTACTAATAGTAAAATGCTAAACATTGCTCAGTAAAAATTACTAGTAATTTCATATTCGTATTATCTTAAAGATAGCGTATAATAAATTCAAGTTATTATATACGTTGAATTTCTAATAAATTCATAATGATCAAATTTGGTCGTATCTATGTACTTTCAAACTGAAACTAATGAATTGTTTCATCAGAATTGTCAACTTTTAAAACTACTATTAATTATCAATAAGCGAAAATGTGAGTAATTAAACTTCTCGAAAGTGACGTATTAAGATTTGGCACGAGTCTCTGAACCATACAAAATCGATTAAGTATATGAATAAAATTAATTCAAATTAAGTCATAACAATCAACAATTTTTCTTACAAAAGTGATATCAGTAAATGTGACGGATTAAAATGAAATCAGATTAAAATGAAATGAGTAATAATGCCAAATAGACAAGCCACCGAAAAATACAAATTTTTGAGGTGCATTTTTTTGGCATTTTTTTAGGGTTAGGACTAATGTTTAGGGGTAGAATTTGTAATAAACAAGTATAAGTGGGTTTTAGGGGGTCAAATAGAAATCCCTCGTTTCATTTTAATCCGATTTCATTATGATCCGCGACATAAGTTGATTGCATCAGACTTTGAAATTTTCTAGATCCGAAACCACAAAGTCAAATATAACGCATATAATGTTGTTAGGGATAGCATAAAGGTCAAATAAAACACGGATTATACCAAGATTTCGCAAAGAATTTTTTACTAGGATATGAAAGATGATTTTGTAAGCAAAATTTTAAGTTACCGTCATGTTACTCCAGATTTTATAATTTGATTGGTAGAAAAGAGTAACATAATCTATTTATCCAACCAGAGATGGCCTACAGCCAGTGGGTGAGGATCCCGAATTTTTATTTATGCTTTACTGACTAATTAACTAGGTTTTGACTTCGAACCTTGTAATAGAATATAAATAACATTTAATCACCCATTTACTGGTAATTAAGTATGTATTACCGTTATTATCAATATGAGAAGAAAGGCATATCATCTTGGTTTAGATTAAATTAATACCATGTAAACTTTTCTTGTTTTTGTTACCTTTTTTTAAAACCAAAAAATTACTTTCTTATTCATTATTTCTAAATCTCTGCAATAGCCAACCACATTACATAATAGATGATCCATTCAATCGTGCAAAATAGTTAAAAACAAAGGTTTTTTTTTTTTAAGGTAGGTCAATAAAAATGGGTTAAGTGGGTCAAAAACAATATTTTTGTTACGTATGCACACATATGTACAAGCAAAATAGTATAGTTACTAATAATGTTTGCAATTATAAAAAACTCTTAGAAATAAAGCAATTTTTCATGTAGAAAATTTCATTTGAATATATTCCTTTTATAAACATCTTGATAAAGTATATTAAAATATTTAAAGCTTTTTTATTTTTATTTTTATTTATTTTTTCATATTAATTAATGATGCTATATATATGTTTTACTTTTTACAATGATTTTAACTAATTATATAATTTATAAATCTATATACTGTACATGATTGTTTTTAAAAAAAATGTTCTTATAAGTAATTATATATTCACTTATAAGACATTAATTCTAGTAAAGATGGCTGAAAAATTATCACGCATCAAAACTATAATATTGAAAAATCTTGCTCATGAATTCTGAACCACATTCAGTTATATCCAATTTTCTACCATGTACTCTATCAGGTCTGATAGTACATCTCTGAATTTTACGAGAGTAATACCATCTTCTACCATAATTTACATCAATATTCCATCCATCGATTGCGTAAAGTTTTTTAAGTAATGACTCACTCATCTCGATTGTGTGAATTGAATGATTACTCTTTTTAATTTCAGCTAACAAATTGTTTGTGTTCAAAAGATTAAAACATGGAATTGAGGTGAGATCAATGTATTGTAGATTTGGTAAGGCTTTTAAAAGATCTTTAATAAAATCTAGGTTGGTAATTTGCGCTTTTGAAATACCAAGATTTTGTAAAGATGAGCAATTGTCCTTTATGGTTGTTAAAATTAATGGAGTTATCTGTGAAGATCCAATATCTAATGTTCGGAAATTCTTTGCGTTTGGTGAACGAAGTAAAGTAATTAAGTCATATTCTTTAATAGATGTAGTGATATCTCTGTCGCCATAGAAGTTAAGAGTTTCTAATTGAGAACATTTTGAAACAAGAGATGAAATAACTTCAGAAGAAAGATTTTTGCATTTAGCTAATGATAAATGCGATAACTTTGTTGGAATATTTGTTTCAGCTAAGAAGTTTAATGTTAAATCACTGATAGAACAACTGCCCAAATCGAGATGTGTAAGATTTGGAGCATGAGCAAGAATAGGTATAATAGTTGAATATTCGGAAATTACTGGACATTCATGAAATGAAAGCCTTTGTAGATGAGATAATAAAGGTTGGGATGACATGCGAAAAGAAATTGTAGTCTCATCATTATCATTGCAATGTGATTCTATTTTAACATGACCAATTAGGCCGGAGAATTCATCTAAAGCATTACTAAATTTTTTACTAGCACATCCACAGAAATCAATGGTTTTTATGTTTTTACATTCTAAAAACAGAACCTTTAAAACATCAAAGGTAATTGCAGATTCCAAAGATTCTGATACAGAAAAAGTTTTTAATTCGGGAAAAGATCTCAGAATATGAATTAAAAGTTCTGGAGTGACGATATTTTGAGTTTCAAAAGAACTTTTTTGCAAGCCACAGGTGGAGAAACTAGAAAGATCTAAGTGACGAATCATTTGAGAACAACGCTTTTTTATGTCATTCGTGGCATTAACGAAAAGCGTAAACGTATGAGGAAAAGTAAACGCGACGGTATGATATAATATCGGAGTAGCATAAAGGTTAAAAGTATGATTAACCAAAGCACAGGCAGCGAGAGTTTTTTTATCATCCCTCAATAAATCCAGAATAATGCGAATAATTTCAGGAGGAATATAAGGGATTGATGAATTTTTTTTCACAGGGACAACTTGTGAACCGGTGAGAGGATAAACGAACAATTGAGGCAAAGTAAGACTAGACATTTTGCTAATAAATAGAAGTTGAGAAATAATTGCTAAAAAATTTAATTTTATTGAAAGATTATAATTATCAGATTGCTTTTGCTAAATGTTTGGAATGTTTAGTGCGGAATTGAAGATTAACGAGGAAGATTCCATGTCTTTATATAATTTTATTACACTTAAAGATATAAAAACGGAAACTTTGATATTAATTCCCAGAAGTGGCAACTTTAGGCCAATTGATACAAAATTTGACGTTATGTTATTTATTTGTGGCTACAATTGTGAAAGCCAGCTTTTACTTAGGTGGTTTGACAGAAGCATTACATTAATAAGTTATATTTTAAAAATTAAACTCATGTAACAAAAAAAAAGCCGAGTAGCAATGTGCCACCAAGGTGGCGACAATGGGTCGTTGAGAACTGGTTTTTATTTGTTTTGCCACAATGCTTATATGTACGTACGCACATGAGTACGTTCTCGGATATATTTACGTAAAATTTTAGAAACATGGATAAATAATAATGGAATTGAATGGTAAGTTAGTAACAGCCGCTATGTAGATTATGTTAAGGGTGAAATTCATCTTCAACTATGATTTATTATCATATTTAACCAAGATTTATTATCAAAAATGGATTTACCTTAAAGTGGTTATGTAATAGATTTACTAGTACTGACTTGACTTAAGCTTCGTTCTAGCGTATAATTCTTTTGCCTAATTCTTAAATAGTTTTTTTTTTTTTTTTTTGAAAATCACAAGTTACATTTTAAGTTGCATAAGGAAAAACTTTTAATTTTCATTCAATTTCTCAATTTGAAAGATGTTTCATTATAAACAGCCGATGTGTTCAAACATTAAATGATAGTCATTCCAGAGTAGAATTCGTGTGTACTTATGTACTACACGCTATTACAATTTGTTTGTGCTTTTGAATCATATTTCTATATTTATTAATTTATTGATAATAATGATGACAATGGTAAATACTAATTAACAAACTTTTTATGAATGATGTAAAAATAGACGTATGTAGTACTGTAACAGATGTGTCTGTTAGGATTAAGATAGGATTTTTAAACTTCAGAATCATTCCTGACAAGCATTCTAAAGATTAATGCTATATATTTTATATTTGTTGGTGCTAAGATAGAACTTGGTACTACATCGTATTTGGTTTTAATACTGGTGTTACACCCGAACTACCTCTTTTTAAGCACCGGGTTAACCTAAGATGATAGTAAGTAGGGATGATAATAATTGAATGTCTTATGTATGTCTTGTGTATTATTTATATAGTGTCAATGACTCGTATTGACGTTTAAGAGGATTTATAGTGATTTGTAATTACGAAATAGACAAACGACTAAGTGTATATGAAGATACAAATAGACGTATCAACTTATTCAAGAAAACCTTTGTGTTATTCGTGTGTGAAGACACGATACTCTTTATTAATGAATAACAAGTGAAAAGTACACCGATTCCTGGTACAATGTCAGGGCTATTTATACGTGTTGTTAACTATTGTTCGCTTGCTAATACTAATTCTACGGTTGTTAACAATATAAAGAATAAAAGAAATATACAGATTGCTAGATGATAATAATTGTCCTGTTCACCCACGTGAGTGCGCATAATAATCACATGCCACATACTAGATGTTTGTCCAGAATTATCGTTATGTTCCGGTAATTGCCAAATTATGTGTGATAAATTGTAAATTATGTGAATTATGTGAGATTTTAAATTACATATAGAACTGATTAAATTCTTGTTTATTGTATTGTAATAATAACTAAAAGAGAACAAATACTTATTTATTATTATTTATTCAAATTAGATATTTATACGGTCTATGAATTTTACATGATTTAAACCAGATATAATCTCTAATTCATGTTATGTTAATTAAAATATAACTTATTTAACATTTCAATAGATTTAGTAGAAAGTACGTGCTATTTGTTATCTAAAATATTTTTGTTTATAGAAAAATTGTATTTTATATCAATATCAGAAATTGAAAGCCAAATGTACTTTAAAGTTAACCTGCTTAAACAAGGTAAAAAATAAGGTTTTTCTAACTAATATTTTTTAATATTAAAATCTAATTCAAAAGTTCCTTCATTATTATAATAAATTTCTCATTCTTGAATTAACTAGTTGTTTGGCTTATTGAATTTTTAAATAACTGAATATAAATAAAGATTTTTTTTATAATTTGTTGATAAATTCATTATAGATTAAAACATTAAATTGCTGAAAAAAGTTCAAATGTTAAATGATTACTAATATGTTTGTTGAACTTAATTGAAATGTTTTGTAAAATATAATTTTATAAACTTCAAAATTAATATTATTTGCAGTAAATTTATGTTTTATTTAAGTATTTAATAATAGGTTGATAGTTTCTGCTTGTAAAATAATTGTGTTTGTTCTATTTAAAGCATAATATATGTTGCAACAGGCTTATTATAAATTTTAAATTATTATAATTTTAATAATAGAGAGTATAGCAACTAGTGAAGTGGATAAATTGTCATTCCTCTAAGTGATAGGTTGTGAGTTCAAAACCTACTAATGGTGAAATTTGAATAAATATCTATGTAATATATAGATAGTATTATGGCAATAGCATTCTGTTAATTAGTTGAGATAGAATATCTGTAACTATGGTCATACTAGCATAACTGGCAAGTCTAGGGCATTTGTGTAATCTTGATTACACAGAAGAATGCAAACTGCTACCAGATGACAGTGTTGTATATTGGATATGTTCATACTATGTAAAATGTCCAATGTTCAAGATTGTCTAAAATTATCTAAGTCTATGTTCAAAGTTTAAATAATTAATAAAGTATATTAAAAATATATATAATTATATATTTTTTTAAGTGCTGGATTCATTTATAAAAAAATTAAAATATATTATCTTAATAAAATTTTGAGTAATTTTAATTTTAAAAAATGTTCAAAAGAGTTTAAAAGTGTTCATATAACAATATTGCCAGATAGTATAAATCTAAAATAAATCTCTATGGTCATGTAAATTTGTAAAACTAGGAAGCCAAAGCTTATTTGAAAATTCTGAACAAAAAGGTAATATAGATTTTTAATAATATTACTATAGAGGTTAGACCTAGAAAATAAATACCAATATGAAAAAATTAGATAAATAAAAATCTTGGATAAGGGATACTACTAACCAGGCCACCAGATTTTAGACCAAAGGAAAAGGATATTGGGTTGGTCTCAATATACCAAGAACAGGTTATAATTCTTCTAGGCTATCTGAATTGGAAGTCTGAAATCAAAACAGAAGTATACTAAAAATATTAGAAATATATTGTGAAATTAGTAACAGGGTCTGGGTAAACTCTGTAAGAGTAGCCCTTGTTAGTGTTCTAAAAGTAGGTAAATAGTTAACAACAGAAGGTTCTCTGTACCTTACTGATAAGTGACATATTTTGAAATATGAAATGACCTAGAAACTAGTACAAAAAAGGTAAATACTATACTGGTTAGATGGTATATTAGTTAAATATATACAGGAGATTAGTTGGGATTACATATGATAGGGCAGATGATCAGAAGATTTAAACAGATAATTTCTTAGTAGGTTATAGATATGGTATCTAATATAGAACCTTAGAACAGACTACTTAAATAGGCAACCAAAAGTTGTTTATATAACTAGTTGTACTCTTATATCTGTAAAAATAGTTGTAATAACTAATCCAATAAAAAATTAATATTGTTACAAAGTATGGTCTTTAATACAAATAAAAAAAATAAAAAAAATAATAATTTTAATAATAAAAATATAATATAAGTTAGCTATAAAATAAAAATACAAAAAAAGTTTAAAAACAATATCTCAAGAATGCAAATAAAATATCACTGTTTTAAGAATATAGGCAAGCATCTGTAACCACTTAGCTGACATATATACTAGAGAGTATTGCAGTAATATAAAATATAATTATATTACAAAGAGTTTAAATAGACAATACCTATACTTAAATTGCAGATATGACATCTAATATAGAATCTATAATGTAAATAAATTACTTAAAGATAGAGAATACTATATTGAAATTATATATAAACTCAATGATAAAATTTTTTTATATTTAATTTTATAAAAAATTATATTAAGTAAACTAATATTAATTTATAAAAAAAGTTTGTAGAACAGGTCTTTCTAATTTTAATGATAGTAAAATTATTAAATTTGATTAAAAACTCAGTAAGATATAACTTTTTAAAGATTAGATATAAAAATTTATTAATTAAATTAACTTATAGAGTTATGTAAATTAACCAATCAAATAGAGAATAGTGATCCTAGTGTAATGTTTGGGTTGTCATCCTCCAAGTAGCAGGTTTAAAGTTCAAATTTTACCTATGATGAAATTTGAAAATTAATCTGTATTACAGAAAACTGTCTTCTGTTAATCAGTTAGATTTAGGTATCTGTAATTTTGGATACAACCAATTGGGTTCTACTTGTCATTGAGAGCTTAGGGCATTTATATTAAGTATAATATTACATATTACATGTACATAAAGAAATGTTAATAACCAGATTGCATAAAACTTCATTGTAAACTTATGATAAAACCACCAGATATAAAAAACTAAGAACTTGAGAAGACAGAATCCTACTTGAAAATTTCTGAGTAAAGAGGTAGCACAAGCCTTCGATGGTGTTGTTGTAATAATAGAATAACTTACCTGATAATGTAACTTATATTGTAAGTTATATTGTAAATTATATACACTTTATATAATTTACAAATATATAGTACTAAAGTAAATCAAAATTATAATAAAGTTGGCTAGCATTAAGATATAATAAAGCAGTTATCTAATCAATAGTTGCATGAGTTACAGATCATATAACCATATTCCTATTTTCTTATTAATTATATTACTAGCATTTATAAGCACTATATATTAGAAACAATAATTAAGATTTTTATATAAACTGTTAAAACTTACATGTTTATATCAA